ACTCACTCGCTCACTATTATTATTATTGCGTCCAATAACAATATACCCAGGTATCTCCAGAAAAGATTAATTGCTCTAAGTTTCCTGAAGTTGATTATCTCACTCACTCACTCACACACTCACTCACTCGCTCGCTCACTATTATTATTATTGCATCCAATAACAATATACCCAGGTATCTCCAGAAAAGATTAATTGCTCTCAGTTTCCTGAAGTTGATTATCTGCCAGGAAACAAAGGGCCATAAATCTAGTATGCACTGCATGCACAATCATTATACTTTCCAGAAGCACAACCGTTCTGCAGAGAAGGTAAAGCCATATATATGATTGATGATGTAATGAGGACAACAATAATAGCCTTATAAAGTCTTGTGACAGACACATTTATCCAGGGCTTCTATTGCCTGCCTAGAGTCAGTCTTTCCAGTATCCTCTTAATAATGTTCAAGTCAGTTTCATATTGATACTCAGCGTCGAGGAATTTTACATCAGATTTATTGCAGAGAGGACTCACATCATGTCTGACATTGTTATGGCACCAAGGGAAAGCTTTCCTTCTGGAAATGACAGTGATATTCGCGTTCTATATTTCTCAGAGTCGCAGGAATTCTGCTAATGGTGCTGTACAATCCCTTAGTGCCCCATCATTTGGAGACGTTTACATGGGTCTCCATCAGAAGTGTTATCCTTTTGTGATTTTTGTCAAACTTTCTGTGGTTCTGACAGAGTGAGTGAGTGAGTTTAGTTTTACGTGCCTTTAACAATATTCCAGCAATATCACGGCAAGGGATATCAGATATGGGGTTCACACAATGTACTCATGTAGGGAATCGAACTTGGGCCTTAGGTGTGAATGAACTAACACTTTTACCACTAGGGTACCCCACGATCCCCTGATCTGACAGAACTTGCACAGTTTCTGAAATATTCTGACAACAGAATCAAATGTCTTGATGGCTACTGAACAAAAGACATATTTGAACAAATCTATTTTTTTTAATCTGAATTTAAAAATGACATAAAATGCACTTTATACATTTAAGCTCTTGTTAAGATCTCCAAGATAACTGTAAATCTTGAAAAACAACCAAGAATATTCTTTGCTGTCTTGGTATTTTTTCCTTCTCATCCTCCTGTTAAGTACACTATTATTGTCTGGACCGTTTGGGGAATAACATTCTGATATTCTGTGAGGGGTGAGATGGTCAGAGTGAGTGAGTGAGTATGGTTTTACGCCGCTCTTAGCAATATTCCAGCAATATCACGGCGGGGGACATCAGAAATGGGCTTCACACATTATACACATTGAGGGGAATCGAACCCGGGTCTTTGGCGTGACGAGCGAACGCTTTAACCACTAGGCTACCCCACCGCCCCTGAGATGGTCAGAGGTCAGATGGGGCTGGGATCTTTTTATTAAACATAATAATTACAAAATTAGTTTGTACAGAAAAATAAAGCATTATCTAAAGCAAAGACTGAATATCAGATTTCTAATTAAAATTTAACCCCCCGGCTAATGATAGTAACCTTGTCAGGTCCTTCGTCTTTCAAGATGAGGCACTCCATTTGACTATTTCTGTACTGCTGAACTTCCACATGAGAATAATCTCAGACAAGAAATTTGACATTTGCTGTTCTTGTTGCGCAACTCATGATAGCTTTCTCACAGTTAGGATCAGTTATTATTTCCGTATATTCTATTTTCACAATCTTTACATACAGCCGGAGAAAGTAGACCTTTTTCATTTCTCTGACACAAATGAGGAATGCTGGTTTAATACTACACAAACTGAGGTTCTGGTTGTCAACTGTGTTCTCTCAGATTTGTGGCCACCATGACAATTGTAGACCTGAGAGCAGTTACACAACACCATGGCTGCTTTCCCCGGGATGATGTATGGAGCTGACATGACTCTTGTCATCTCACATTTCCCTGCCATTTGCAATGCAAGAGCTGCGCAGAGCTGCATAATCAGAGGCCATGCAGTCAATGACCTATATACTGCTTGCTCATACATCATCAACGATGCTCTTCCAAAAATGTTGTCCAAAGAAATTATGCTACAAAAACTGGTAAATCTATCTGCTTGATACATAAAATTTATTTTAAGCGGTCCAGAATAGATCGTGATAGCACCCAGCTGAGACAGATATTGAATTTGTAACAAAAACACGAATTTGTGTTTCCAATCATCCAACCATCCAATCATTTCACTTGCATTCTTTCAATCCATCTCTGTCCAAGGGCTGGTTTGCTGAATACAATTATTTGGGTTAGGGGCTTACATCAAGGGTGTAGGAGTGATTTGTGTTTGCCACTGTGAGCGAGTAAGTCTCACCAATGATCACCATCATCAATGTGGTCTTAACTGTTACAAAATGTGAAAATATACTGAGGGAAAAAATAAGGGATCACACAAAAGCACAAGTGTTCCTTTATTTTTGTATGATTTTTTTTTCACAAGCTTTGTATTGCATAGCGTGAGAAGAAACCTGGAAAAGAATAAAGGAAACACTTGTACTTTCATGTGTTCCCTTATTAGTTTCCATGAGTATATCAATAACACACTTTTCACTTACACTGATCCTACACATAGTTTCCTTTTGTGTATTATCAGAGCACTCACGTTCATCTTCCAACTGTTCTCAACACTGTTGATTTTATTGTCAGTTAACAGTCTCAGTCTCTCATAACAAATGTAATACACATGCACTCAAAACACATGGAAACTGGATTAATCATTAAATACAACATGCACTGTACTTCTAACATTTTGAAGCTATATCAATAGGAAGGTCAAGGGCAGACAATTTGAGGCTAAATTATTTATAATCAATTCGGAAAAGGCTGAAGGTTGTATCCATTCTAATACTGAAGGATATATCGTATTTAGTGGATATGTGATAATAGCATAGGCATAACTGACTTGTTAACCATTTGAACTGTTTATAACACCTGTATACCCAGACTAGATCTCCAACATGCCTAGCACTAAATCTGGGTGGGGTTGCCAAGTGGTTAAAGCATTTCATGGTCATGTTGAAGGACCTGGCCCCGATTTCTCAAAACAAACTTAAGTTTTTACTCAAAATTCAAACTCAGTTTGACAATTTGAAACAGCTGAATTTTTAACTCAACTGAATTTTTGCAATAAAAAAGACCAAACAACTTCAGAAATCTATCCACCAAAATCAACTTGTCTACTAAATTTGAGTTTAATATCGATTCCAGTTCATTCTGGGAAATGCATTTACCTGCGTTTTTTCAAATTTGAGTTAAAACTCAAACTTAAGTCAAAACTCAGACTTAAGTTTGTTTCGAGAAATCGGGGCCTGGTTTGTATACAGTTTTTGAAGACTATTTCTGATGTCCACAACCTCAGTATTGTTGGAATATTGTTGAAAGCTTACTGACTTTAAATTTGATTTGATAGTCATGTTGAAGGGTCAGGTTCATTACTTGATGTATACAATGTTTGAGGCCTATTTCTGACGTCTGCAACCATAATATTGAGGGAATATTGTTAACAGCTCACTATCTGAGTTTCAGTTTGATGACTTTTATCTCTGTCAGAGATAATGCCCTTATTCAGGCCAAGCACCATGTCCGTTGCTCTGTCAAAATTAGATTGACTTCCCCCTACAATGAGGTTTGGACACATCTTCGACATCTGGCACAGAGATAGCTGGTACCTACAGAGAGTGGCTCTTATCTTATTTAATACAGCCAGGACACTAGAGAAGTAGATGGAATTGGATCAGGTCACTACAAGACCACTGTCTCATTGTCTGAATAGGCAATCAGACTATATACCCGGTACCATGGGATAACTGGATGTTAATCACAAAGAGTCAGAACTACACACTATTCACAATGAACATGACTAGAACATCAGTCTGTGGATAATTGCTCACTCTCAGGAGACAGGGCACCTGTCTAATGGGATAGAAATTGCTGTGGATAATTGCTGGATCCTTTACAATCACAAAGAGTCAGAACTACACACTATTCATAATGAACATGACTAGAACATCAGTCTGTGGGATAATTGCTGGATCCTTTACAATCACAAAGAGTCAGAACTACACACTATTCATAATGAACATGACTAGAACATCAGTCTGTGGGATAATTGCTGGATCCTTTACAATCACAAAGAGTCAGAACTACACACTATTCATAATGAACATGACTAGAACATCAGTCTGTGGGATAATTGCTGGATCCTTTACAATCACAAAGAGTCAGAACTACACACTATTCATAATGAACATGACTAGAACATCAGTCTGAACATGACTAGATAATTGCTGGATCCTTGCAGGATACAATCACAAAGAGTCAGAACTACACACTATTCACAATGAACATGACTAGAACATCAGTCTGTGGGATAATTGCTGGATCCTTTACAATCACAAAGAGTAGGAACTACACACTATTCACAATGAACATGACTAGAACACCAGTCTGTGGGATAATTGCTGGATCCTTTACAATCACAAAGAGTAGGAACTACACACTATTCACAATGAACATGACTAGAACACCAGTCTGTGGGATAATTGCTGGATCCTTTACAATCACAAAGAGTCAGAACTACAGGTCTTCAACGTGATGAGCAAACAAAAATTTTAACCATTAGGCTGCCCCACTGCCCCTTGAACTCAAAGAACATATAACCATTTTTCTATAAATATTGTAGGCCTATAGTAACTTCCACTAACACATCCACTATGGCAGTTACCACTAATTTAATAGCCTCGGGTGACCACAGGCGATTCCTTATCTTGAAGATTATCATAAGGAAATGTAATATAACTCATAGATCCGCTTCAGTCAATTTATGCTGAATGTAACACCAAGCTGTCACATACATATGTCTAGATTACTAAATCATCAAAGAAACAAAGAGAGAATCACTGAGTAGAATTCGATCCTGATAGGCTGCTTCATCAGTCCACAGAGAGAAGGACAATTTAATGCCAACTTACTGGTGTTAAGGCTGTTCTGGCAGACAAGTTCACCCCCTGTTTTTGACTTTTGGCTCTTCCTGTCATCTCCCTCATCAGCTTGTAAGGAGGATATTGCATTCCCTTTCTGTACAATTGCTGTAAATGGAAGGAATGAGACTTTAAATGACAAAAACATGTGTAACCAAATATTGCTTGAGCAAAAAATCAATTCAGATTTTTAACTCCACTGGAGGAATGTGTTAGGATGTATGACTTCTTTGATGTTGACATGTGACATCTCATCAAATTACCTTGGTACCAGCTGAGCTAATCACCATCAGCTCTCATTAAATAGTGTTTATACATCTCATGAAAATTATTACAGTTTTAGAGTTTCTTCAAACTCTTTACATTTTAATCAAAGTCACATAATGCATGGCTGGAATGAACATGCTGAACGAACAAGATGAGACGTAACATTGAAGACTAATTACAGCTATTGATTGAACTTTCTATCCCCCTCTCTCGTCACATCTTCTGAAAATAACATCAGACAGAGAAATGTCGATAAACGCGAAGCCTTGAATCAGTGTAGACATGAAAGAAACCAACGCTACGTTGCCCATTGAGATTCTGGTTATATTAGCAGGCCATGCCTGCTGTAAGTTGCGACTTACAACAGACAAGTGGTCTGACTCACATATTGTCAATCACAAGATTGTCTGGTCCATTCACACTTCAATCACAATAGTGACATATAGCTATAGTGAGGTGTTGTAAAACAACGAACAAACACTCCCTTGCAAGAGGTTTAGACTCACAAGGTTAACAATAATGATTTGACATTTCTAGGATTTGATGAAAAATTAGTACATATATTGTAAAGGGGAAACATTTACATAAAAGTTTACTTTATTACAAATCATTTTTATACACGACTTTTACTGCAGCAGCCATCAATATTCCAGCTACATCATGGTGACCTGTACATAACTGAGGCCTGTCCCAGCCAAATATTGGGAGACGGCATCAGTAACCATCTGCATCATCAGATGCGATGACACAACTTGACCCAGATCACACATCTTAACCACATATTCTACGTAAGTTAGCACAGCAACAAATATTGGGAACTTACTTATCAACAAACCCATATTTCTTTGTTGTTGTAAAAGTGTTATATTTGTTTGTTTGACATCACACACAGCAATACTTCCAGCTATATGTATTTGATGTTAGCGTGTAGCCTGAGTCTGGACTAGACAATTTAGTGATTGATATTATAAGCAATGACTGATGGCGTCAGGTTATGACAACAGGTTATCTGGAGAGTAGTTGAAACATAGACACTCGATCTAGACAATTTCCTGATCAAGGTGAGTTAAATCTTGGAAAGCATTTCTCTCACACTACAGGTGAGCTAAATCTCAAGCCATTTCTCTCACAGACCAGGTGAGCAAAATCTCAAAGCATTTCTCTCACAGTACAGGAGAGCTAAATCTCAAAGCATTTCTCTCACAGTACAGGTGAGCTACATCTCAAAGCATTTCTCTCACAGCATTTCTCTCACAGTACAGGTGAGCTAAATCTCAAAGCATTTTCTCACAGACCAGGTAAGCAAAATCTCAAAGCATTTCTCTCACACTACAGGTGAGCTAAATCTCAAAGCATTTCTCTCACAGTACAGGTGAGCTAAATCTCAAAGCATTTCTCTCACACTACAGGTGAGCTATATCTCACAGCATTTCTCTCACAGTACAGGAGAGATAAATCTCAAAGCATTTCTCTCACAGTACAGGTGAGCTAAATCTCAAAGCATTTCTCTCACAGTACAGGTGAGCTAAATCTCAAAGCATTTCTCTCACAGTACAGGTGAGCTAAATCTCAAAGCATTTCTCTCACAGTACAGGTGAGCTAAATCTCAAAGCATTTCTCTCACACTACAGGTGAGCTAAATCTCACAGCATTTCTCTCACAGTACAGGTGAGCTAAATCTCAAGCCATTTCTCTCACAGACCAGGTGAGCTAAACGTCAAGACATTTCTCTCACGGAGTCTGAATAGGGTGTACACAACCCTATTTGCATACCAGCTTAATAATTCACACATCTTTATGGTAATACAATCAAACCTCATCCAAATTTCATCATGACTCACAGTTTTATTATCTCGCTGCATGACAGAAAGAAATTATCAGAACCAACTGGAGGCATGAAATGAGATCCAAGAACCCATAATGGTGGACAAAAAGCATGTTCTAAACGGTGTCATCCGTTTCAAGAACATTCACAAATGTTGACTGCTGAGATGCATCATTGACTTCCGGAATAGATTGTCAGATGCATTGGTATGATATTCTGGAAGAACCATTTATCACATCTCGAACAGCCAGTGGGCCAATAGCAATGTTTCTTTATCCTCTGATAGTATATCAGTCTACTTGATGGGTACATTGGAATCTTTCCATGACACCAAAAACTGATTCTCATAATATGTCAAATGTATGTTTAAATAAAATAATCTGATTATTCCTATCAAATGCTGAGTTGTATAGTAATAGGCCACAGGAGTTATAAGTTCCTGCTTGCTGGTATTTGCCATCAAACCTTTTTCTTTATAAGAAACACCTGGGGTGAAGTTTTACTTTTCATAACAGGACCAGGAATGAGATTTTACTTTTCATAACAGGACCAGGAATGAGATTTTACTTTTCATAACAGGACCAGGAATGATGTTTTACTTTTCATAACAGGACCAGGAACGATATTTTACTTTTTCATTATAAGACCAGAACTGAGGTTTCACTTTTTCTAAGACCAGGAATGAGGTTCTATTTTTTCAATTACCACCTAATCTATGATATGAGGTTTTCTTAGAATATCAAAGTTCCAGATGTACAGTGCTCTATAATCTTTCACAAGAATGGTATTTTTTCAATTATGGATGACTAGAATTAAACCCACAACCTCCTGATCAGTAGTCAGGGACTCTAACCATTTGACCACAGAACTGAAAGAATATAGGTGGTTCTTACAGGAACAATGTTTAATGTATATTTCCTGGCCAGATGTACGATTTTGCAAGTTGTATTTAAACCATAACTCACTTTTATACCTGATATTACATAAACATCAATAAATGTTGTTTATACAGTAGATATAAGTCTGAGAATTCCTTTCTCCTTGGTTGTGGTTGAAAGCATAAAACCATTAAAGTCAGAATTGGTTCCCCCATGGCTTTGACATTTTCAGCCAAACCTCTTGGGCACATTTTCTCCAATAAATATTACATGGTTAAGCAGGAATTGTGGAAGTTTATCACACAGAAATGTGAATTTTGTCCTCAATTTGAGATCAAAGGAAAGTTGTGAACTTGAAAAATAAAAAAGTAAAAGTTTGTTACCATCCATGAGAAAACGCTATACAGCTGAAAAAATTGAATGGTGTAAAACTTTCTATGATACTTTAATCTTACTGTGCAGAGGAACATATAAGAAACTGAACATATTTTAGGAAAAGTTTAGTGTTGTCATTTTAAGATGAAATGGGATTTAAGTCAAGATCAGTATTATTTCTCTTGCATAGCAATGCACATATGTGTGTGTATGCTTGTGTGAGCGCATGCAAGCATGTGAGTGCATGTATGCATGTTTTGGTGCTGGCACAAGTCAAGGTTTTAGTCTTAAAGACTTTTGACAGGAGGTTGTTCATGACCACTCAATTCCTGAAAACAAAGTTAACTTGTTGAATATGTTTTTCTTAGTGACCCCAGCCTCGTCCCTTTCCCTTAGTCAATGTGTCTTCTTAAAGTGAATACTGAACACACAATTCCATTTAGAAAGTGGTCAAATGGAAAATATATTATATTTGAGATTACACTTTATCTCCATAAAGTACAGATTCTAGTACTTTTGTTGGGTTGAGTCCCATCCGGGATTCAAACCCATATTCTCAAGTCAGGCATCTCCTCGCCAGCACACAAAGTCAGACATCTCACCCAATCAGCCGCTTTTTGTGCTGGCGATTCAGTGCCTGACTCTGAGAGTGTAAGTTCCAAACCACGAATGGGACTCAACCAACAGTACTAGAATCTGTATTACTGAGAAAGTGTAATCCCAAATATAACATGTGTTGCAGTGAATACTGTAGAATATTTCAGACACTGAAACACTGAGTCCCATCTTACATACTGAAGAAGCCATCTGAAAAAATGAAAAAGAGGTTGTTTTCACAGAAGCTAAGACGCCTTCATTACTACACAGATTTATAACTCTGGTTTAAAGATGCAAAGCACATTTGCAACCACATGCCCAGAATTTATGACTCTGTCAGATAAACTGTATCATCAACAATGTTTGAGCCTGTATTCCTGAAGGCAATGTTAATCATAGTGTGACAATGATATATTGCGTTAATGTTGCCACGACTAGATGTTTTATCAATGGAAATGTGTTGGGAAAGTAGTATCGACTGGAGGATGATGTGGCCATTGAGCCCCCAGACTCTGCATGAAAACGTGATGAATGGTAGACAGTCCAGACTATCTCCCTCATGACTGATTATATGGTTTTGTGTTGGGGGATTAGAAACCACAGCTAGCAGGGGATATCATTAGAAGAAGAAGACACTTTTTGTTAAAGAACGGTTGTAATACCCGATATATTTTTACATCAAAACATACTCTGATGTCTTTTATACAAAAATGTCTGATAGTTTTAATTCAACCAGACACAAAGTTATCAGTGTTTGAAAGTTTGGGGACACTGACTTATAATTACCATGTTGGCCACAAAGGCGCTGTGCTCTGCACAAAACCATGAACCAAGGCTAACTTCAACCTCATTATGAAAAATAGTGAGTGAGTGAGTTCAGTTTTCAGCAATATTCCAGCAATATCACTGCTGGGGATACCAGAAATGGGCTTCACACATTGTACCCATGTGGGGAATCGAACCTGGATCCTTGGCGTAACGAGCCAACACTTTAACCACTAGGCTACCCCACCGCCCCCATTATGAAGAATAACAAGTCATCAAAACAAGGATATACCAGTTGTATAACTTGGAGCAATTATTCAGTGATGTTTGTCTAAGAAACAATTAAGAGTTAACAATATCAGCTGTACCATGTCACACAATATACAGACAGTGGACATAAT